TCAGTTGTTACTCGAACGTGGAAACGATTGCACGTCTAGCATTATGGCGCAGACTTTATCTAAACGTCAAAAAATTGCTTTAGTGTTTTTTTTACGTAGTAGAGCCATGCTGCAGCTATATTAGTAGTATAGTTGTAGCACGAATGGGTCAACTCGACCGGGGAAGGACCACGCTCTCACAGAATACCAGCGTAAAATAGCAGCTTAACATTGCTGTGTTTCGTATGGTGAGTGTAGAGAACGGGAGACCCTTTTTACTGGAAAAGAGGCATTCCATCTCAGTCCTCATGGATGATAACGCATTTGCATTTTGATTCGCATACGAGGATAAATGTAGGTGTCTATGGGCCACAGCAACCACTTACCATCAGGTGGACTGTGTGCTCGTTTGTCACCCTATCTTATAACAAAAAAACTTTGGCTGGCGGTACCGTGCAAGGCCGAGCTAAAAAAAGGAAGGAAAGGAAAATGTGGATGAAAAAATATTTGCTTCTCAGAGAAAAACTATCGAATATGCAAATAGTCAGCGTTTTGGACCCAACAGACCTACGAAACTATTTTAAAGAGTAGGTGAAAACCAATTCGACGAGTTATTAAACTTAGTATAACGCCTTTAATAGAAAAACAATACTTTAATGATTTCTTATATTTACGCGAAGACTACACATTGAATAAAACTACTTGTACGGATTCTATCGCGTTTAATTATTTTTTTTTTATTAATTCCCTACGTTTCGGGTGCTTTACAGCACCCAGTCCCCCGTGACGATGGGTGATAAAGCACCCGAAACGTCGGGAATTAATAAAAAAAAATTAAACGAGATAGAATCCGTAAAAGAAGTTTTATTCAAAAGAATACGAGTACTTTTTTAAGAGAAATTGGTTGTCACTTTACGATTTTGGCCACTGGAAACTCCTATCAAGATTTGATAAGGTATATCTTAGTAGATGTCCATGACATTGAGAAGGATCTTTTTCTTTAGCGCATGACATAAATACGAGTAATGATTTAGAGAGTAGATCGACATAGTAGAACTTTAAATAAACAAACGTGTAGACTCTGCGCATGCGGCCACGCAACTGAGCTCCCTGCCTCCCTGTCTCTTATTACACTACACGATCCACAGCGCGGCAGGGAAGCAGGCCGGTCGGAACCACTCGGTCGCCCTGTTTAGGGACCCTGACTCCCTGTTTCTTATTACACTACCCTGTCCCTGCGGGCAGGGCCCGAGAAATCGTGTAATGTAATAAGCCTTTAAACGGCGTAACACGTAACAATAAAAAGCGGCTACTTTATTATTTTACATTAACCGTTTTTTATTATATTACATTAACCGTTTGTTCACTGTCCCATTAAGTAAAGAAAATTATTTAAAAGAACTTAATATAATTTATCAAATAGCGGTCTCTAACGGTTTTTCAAAAAATCTCATTAACAATTTAATTAAAAAGAAACAAAAGCATGTTATTCGCAACTCTCTGTACGCGGTTCAACCTCAAAGTGTTCATCGATATGTGAGCAGTTTGACCTACTTAGGCCCCATATCTGAAAAAGTAGCTAATACTCTTCGACAAAACGGCGTTCATGTGGCGTTCAAAACAAACAATTCTCTTAGAAATATCTGTAATAGTAAAGATAAGTTGGATATTCGTCAAAAGTCAGGTGTTTACAAACTTGTTTGTGACGAATGCCACGCCGTTTACGTGGGTCAGACTGATCATAGGTCGCAATTTCGAGACACGTTATAAAGAGCATTTAGCCGCGTACAGGAATTGCAATCCCGATAAATCCCATTTTGCCAAACATCTTTTGGACACTGGACACAACCTAGCCAACGACCACTCCTTTAAAGTCTTACATACGTGTAATAAAGGGCTGCGGCTGTGTGTGCATTGCTGAATGAACAAACAAATGTTACCAACTCACCTCTCTTAAATATCTTCAAGCCTGCTCTCTAATAATGTGGGCGTTGCGCGGCGGTTTGTTTTTAATTTTACAAACGGCTGCGTAAGTCCAGCGGTGATTGGTCGCATGTTTTATCGCATGACGCAGTCGCTCGCTACTTAGGTGGAGAGCGGTTGCATCATCGGTTTGTATAAAAGGCACTTGTTTTGGCTCGCCGCTTACTTAGCGGTTAGCCACCGTAGAGTCTATATCACCTGAGGATGCCTCGTGTAGAGGCGAAACACGTGTCGTATTATCGTCAGTGGTGTGTCTTGCCTAGTGTAGTGGTGTTGGAAATAGCGGTGCTGGGATTAGTGGTGACGGGGATAGTGCACGCAATTGAGGGAGGGCGGGAGGTGCTTCTTCATACTAGGTAAGACACATCATTTTATTTTATAACGCGGATATTTGCGAAGTAAATTTTTGTAAAAGCTTTTATATAAAAATAATTTGTAACAAACTGACACAGCTTCGTTCCGCAAATTCGAGTTGCGTAACTCGAGTACTATTCGAGTTACGTGAATTTTAACTCAAGTTAACTAGCGTCGAGTTTCTTCCGAATTAGCACATCTCTACTACATTTTTTAATATTACATTAGCAGAACCAATGACCTGAACACAAATATCTAAAAAGTTCTTTTTTTCTGATTTCTTGGTTACGTTTAGATTTTCATATAATCTTTATGCTATTTACAATAATAAATTGGTATCTTTTTTGTATATGATGGAGGACAGAGCTCCTTAGTGTTTTTTTAAAAATGTCACGTCACTAATGTTATCTTCATGGTGATCACTCATCTTCAATCTTTCAAAGAACACAAGTATACTGAAAGCCCCGTTTATCCGACTGACAGCGTAACGATGTATTTTGAGAGGTCTGTACTGTTCGACTGCTCAAGGCAGACTGACTTAGCACGCTTTTTTTTTAACGCCCAAAAGCAATTAGAAAGGGCTACCCCGATACGCGAGGAAGTGGAGAATGCTTTATGCATACCACGACAGCCGGTCTGTCGTGGTTATGCGGAACTCACTGTGACTATCCTACGGGGACCCTAAGTGATACCCGCTAAACTCCACTTTGGGGACTGGCAATTGGCTGATTAAGCCTCTTTGCCGGATCGGAAGCGATCCTCTTTTGGGAGAAGAGGGCGCAGATCTTAGCACGCTCCTGTGCGGCCGCTTTTATAGCGTGGCAAGCACAAGATTTTTACATTGTAATCATCAAATAGTGATTAATAAATGGCTTATGAACTATTTTTAACGCAATAAAATTATTATACAGAGTAATTAATGATTAATCATTATAATCGACGAACTATTGTTCTTGCGCCGATATATATAATATCATTGAGTGCCGCGAAAATTTTAGTGGGCCCAAAAACGATTGACTCCTTTAGGATTCTTCATTTTACAAACAGAGGTCTGCAACTGTCTGTTAATTTGGCACCAAATATTGCTCTGAGACACTTTATTTGCATACGAAACGCAATGCTTAATTCCATATCTTAAGTTGGTGGCAACGTATCCATGATAAGCAGTAAGAGCAGCTTTTTGTGAGACAGTTTGTGCTAATTTTCTTAGAGGATAAAAAAAATTACTAATTTTACTTGTAAGATATTCGGTATGCGATTTCCAGCTTACAAATTCATCAACCAACACACCAAGGAAACGTATCTGTTTTACTCGCTCAATGAAATGAAATCATACGTAATAACGACAGTCCCTTGTTTCCGGTTTTGGGGAAGATAAAACTGCGTATATTTTGTCTTATCTATGTTTATGACGAAATCATTTGTTATCATCTAATTGATAATATCAGACAAAGCTTCAGCAATAACACATTCATATGGTTTATTGCTTTTTTTATCATTACAGTAGAATCATTTGCAAAAAGGATCATTTCATGCTGCACATTTCTAGGTAGGTCATTGATGTATAAATTAATAGGAAAAGAAGTGGCCCAAGTATATTTCCTTTAGGTACACCACACTTTACAAGCTGTGACTGTAATCGTACCTGCATATCAGATCGATTTTCTTCATTAACATAAGAGATTTCTGTGTATTGAAATCGATTAATTAAATATGACGATACTTGTACCAAACATCGGTCCTCTAATTCCATATATATATAATTTATGCAGAAATTTTTCGTGATTTATTAGTCATCTTGCGTACCGTTCGAATAGCTATCAAAATAATGATTCCTGCGAAAGACAGTTGGTACAATTTAACATCACATCACTACTTGCGTGGAAGTATCTCAGACATGATGTTCCTATTCAAATGTGCAATAATACCTATAGTATTGATTGTCCAGCAATAGTTCAATTATTTAACTTTAAGGTGCCATCAAGACTACCTAGAAAACCGCACGCCTTTTTCAATGTATCCATTTATATGTAGATCTCACTTGGGAAACTATTCTCCTCTAGGCAGACTGGCTCGCACTTATAAGAACCTGTCCTCAAAGATTTCTGGCCTCGATATTACTTGCGATAGTTTATCCACCTTCAAATTAATATTAATCAATTTCTTTAAAAATAATGAATAAATTAATTATTATAATTATAACATTGGAATTGTTTGTGTTTTCTATAATGTGATAATATTGTTAAATAATTCTATTTCTTTTTAATAATTTATATTTATCCAATGATGTAATTCAGTTTTTTTTTCTTATAATTCCTTTATTTACTAAATAACCAACGCATGTTATGTTTTGTTTTGAATTATTTATAACAATTTGTTATGAAAATGATCTTTGTATTACTGTAGTAATTTTTGTTTGTAATCCTAATAAATAAAATAAATAAAACAATGTTATAATTTTGGCCCATATTACCAAGTTTTTATTAATTCGTTTTCGTGTATGTCTGTCTGTTCGTGTCGAATTTAGTAATTGATTTTAAACACAGCTCAGAATCGGATGATTTGAACATTTGATTTAGGGTCAATATAAGAATGTAGTAAAAAAAACGTGGTAAAGAACAATGTTTTTTTATAATCATTTATCAATTTTTTTAAATCAAATCACTTATTTTAGGTTCAAAACTATGTTTCAGAGTCTCAAACAGTATGCTCGCTTTTTATCGCACGCAAACGTAGTTATAGATACGTATTTCATGATGTCTGGACTTCTACTGATGAAGAATTTCAAATTGGTGGCAGGAACATCGAAAAGCCCATTTAAAATGTTGTTGAAACGATATTTCAGGTATGAATTACACATTTTTTCAACCAACTTCAAAAAAGGATGAGGTTTTCAATTCCACTGTTGTTTTAATGTGTTTTTTTTACTTACCTCAATTATTTTCTAGCTGTACCGATTTTTTTTATTTCAAAGGTTGTGCTTTTCGTGTAGTTCCATATATAAATTTGATCAAGATCTGACCGGTAGTTTTTGAGTTATCCTTAATAATCCGTATTTAATTGACTTCAACTACTTACGTTGATAATGGTCTCATTTTATTTATATTGAAGTTGATTGTGCAAAATGTTTAGTTTTACTATATGTTTATATAATCATGGTGACAAAGGAGCACATATTACACCTAATGATAAGTGGATGCTGTGGCCCATAGACATCCACATTTATACTCAATTAAGAAACAAAATGCAGATGCGTTTTCATCCCTGAGGACTGAGATGGAATGCCTCGTTTCCAGTAAAAATGGTCTCCGGTTCTCTATACTCACCATATAAGCACAGTTGCTAGCTACTTTACGCTGACATTCTATGAGAGCGTGGTCCTACCCCGGAACTATAAATTCTATAAAAACTGGAATTATACTTATAGTGCTCAAGTCAGCGAATTTCTGGTCTTTATGAAATTTCTTTTCAAAGTGCGGCCTTATAAAAAGAATATGTGTAGCAACTCTAACCACGCTGCGGTTATGTTATGGATGCAACAATGACCACGCTCTTTTAGAATTCATTATTTCATTCAGTTCAGCCTATCAAAATTCACTGCGGAACATAGGCCTCCCCATAGAATTACGTCATAAGAGGAAAGTAATGTTATAGCCTATATACCTCCCACTCCTGGGCACTTCTCTCATTTCTGAGAACGTTTTGGTACAAGAAAATGTCTACCGCACTTCCCTCAATACAAGTTGACGGACTTCAAATGTCTTCGAAATATTTTTTCTAATATCTCAGACATATAGGTTTCCTTACGATGTTTTCTTTCGAAGCATGTTTTTCTTGAAGCGTGTTAAGTTAGCATTTAAAATTGCAATTAATAATTTAATTGAATCCGACGGGGATCAAATCTAAGCTGCGCACGTACAGGGAAATTTACAGTAAGCGCTTAACCCCCGAGCTACTACGGCTACTACTAATGAAAATGCTTGCCATAAAAGCCACGGTAGGCAGTTTTTTTATTTTTTATTGTTATTAGGAAGATAGTGCTGCCTATTTCCTATTTTAATTACCCTCTGTCGCATCTTAGGAAAACCAGGGGATGATATTGGGTAGTGGTTTTTCTAACGCTCCCACTTAATGGCGATGTTTTTTAATTTAACATCATTTCAAAAGCCAACAGTAAATCATAGGCCTCTCATGTGCCCATGCATGGTATACTCACCAGCCGGGCAGGTCTACTACAACGGGGAGCACATGGTTGATATTGTTGTTACTACTCCCCATATTCATCATTATCATCATCATTACTACTCATCACAAGTGTACTGCTGAACAAAGGCCTCCACCAATGAAGAGTGGTAGAGCCACTCGACAGCTTTCGTTGTCTCACAGCTGAGCCGGCTCAAACTCGAAAGGTACCACGACCTCACAGAATATCAGCGTGATATACAAGTTTAGCCTTTCGCTTGGTAAGCGCAGGTAGCCGGAGGCCCAACCCAACCTCCCCCTTAACATAATAGCGGAATTATATAAGACATTACACAAGGAGGATACAAGCACCCCTGGTGTTGGAGAATCACTCGCTCAGCATCCACGCCCAAGTTACCTTACTCTTCTTGAGCGTGGGTGCTCAGGTTGCGCCATAATTCTGGGGAGGGGTGGGGGGCGGATGAAGAAATTCCGCTCAAGACTAAAACTGATGTGTATAAAACTGAGTGTAAAACTGTGATGATGGTGAAGAAGGTACGGACATGTCCATCCTTTGGCTGCACGTAAACAGCGACAACCATCCCCACGTCTACGGGTGATTTTATAGATCCCATAGCGGTAATGCTGACACAGACCAACTAATCGACCACCTCCAAATGTCTGAAGACTCCGAGCTACAGCAGGTCCCATTCGCAGAGATCATGATCCACGGTGATTTAAACGCCCACTACGCTGAAAAGCTTGGTTCCCGTTTAACCGATCATGCGGGAAGATCTGTTCATGACGTTTCATTGCCTTATGGTCTAACACAAATGGTAACTTCGCCTACCTGGATCCCCGAAATGGAGGATTATGCACTTCCCTGTTGGATCTTTTGCTGACATTTCATACGGGTTGTCGCCGTATTTGGCACTATAGCTTGGCCGATTGAGACAAGATGCGGTCTTTTTTTGCATCTTACCCTCGGGGGTGGGTTTGATTCTCGCTGGATAATCCCAACGTATTTTTTGATTCTGTCGCTGATGTAGTACTTCATCTGGTATGGAATTTTTTATTCCATCATATGTAATGCCTCTCTGAGGCAGATCCCAGCCATGGTTTGGTCACTCTTGTAAAATTGCATCACGTCATATGCAGGAGTGCTACCGAGCTAGGGCTAACATATCGACATCACGGGATTCAAAGAGAAGCACTCTTAAAAAGAAGTATAATTCCGCCTCTAGGTCCTTCAAAAAAGGCATTGTCAAGGCAAAGTCAGAGCACATGAATAGAATTGGCGATAAACTAGTTCGCCTTCCTTTGAGAACACGTGCATTCTGGTCTCTTGCCGTGACTGTCCAAGGGAACTTCTATCGACCATTTCTCCCATTTTACACAGGGAGGATCATTGACTGGCCCATGCCACAAAGGAGAAAACAGATTGAGGGGGAACACCGCCGAGCATCTCTTGGCGTGAGTGCTCTATTCCAGATGTGCTGTTTACACAGCACTCGGTTCGCAAATAGTGTTGCCCAATATCGGTCTTGGTCTTGCAGTCTTGGTCTTGTTCTTGCATTTTTGCAAGACCAAGACCAAGAACAAGACCTCCTCTTTTTAGCAAGACCAAGACCAAGACTGACCGTGCAAGATTTGCGCAAGAACAAGACTTAGCTTGCGAGACTCTTGCGTCTTGCAGTTAGGACTAAGTGTCGTTTCAGGGAGTATAGGAGTTCGGGTATACGCTTAGGGACTCTATGAGACGCAAAAAATATAATGAAAAAAAATTGGACTTATGCGCATTACGAACAATACCATAAATATACATAGCGAATGAAAATATCCATTAAAAGGAAAAAGAGTGCATCCCTAGTTTTGACCATCGGCACTTTGATGGTGCGCGGCGTCTTGTTGTCGGCGTCATTAAAGGTCGGATACTGACCTGTCAAAGAAATTGTGCAGCTATTCGAAAGTACAAGGTCAAGATACACGTGCCGGCGGCTACTATTGATATCGCATACAATCGTCGCCGCTGCGCCACACGCACTACATTTGACACTTTTTTTTTGGAGTTTATGGCCTGGTATCTAGACCTTTAGGCCAAGTCTTAAGTATTTTTATTCGGTTTATTGTAATTTCCCCACTCCTTCATAGTATACTGCTTCACAATATGTTGATGCGTCACATTGTGCAGTTCTTGGGAGATTTTGGCGGCAACTTGATCCAGCAGACAGCTGATAGTTGGCGATGGTATCTAAAGGTGCCTATGCAAACAAACAGCTTATCTTGAGAATCCATCACCATCAGAGCACTTGTTTCACTGTTTCCACTAATAGTTCACATGCGTAGACACTTAATACACAAAATCGCAACACTTTTACATATCAAAGTCCACTTCAAACCATTATTTAAACAATAATACAGGAGCAGCAAACCGCCGCCGGTCCATTTCCCGCCAAAACTCTCACATTTGACACTGTTTGATTGCCACCACAGAGTACATATTTCAAAGAGTAAAATAAGTTTCCGGGTGCTCAGAATGGACACGAATACATTATCCTGATCTCGCAAGAAATCTTGTAATTAGATAATAGGTAGGTATCATAATAATTTATTCTAGTAAGTAATTATTATAAAATTAACTCTATGGATTTATAATAATTACGTACTATTATTGTTATTATTATTAAAAAGTGAAACATGTTCAGTAAGTTCTGTTTTGCAAGTATGTGTTTTTAATACACAAAGTGCTCGAATATGTCATCACACATTTGATAAATATGGTTGACACCATAGCACTTTTAAAACACTTGAAATGTGTAAAAATGGATCTGGATCTTGTCTTCAAGGCTTAGTTATTAAGGAGTTGGAGGGGTACCTAGGTAAACCCAGAGCCGTCATCTCGGAAGACATTTTAGACTGTTGGAGGACGCATGAGACAAAATATCAGATTTTATCGAAGATGGCCCGTGATTTTCTTTTAATACCTGCAACTTCAGTACCTGCTGAGAGATTATTTTCTAAAGCATCATTAGTAATTAGAAAACATAGAAATAGGTTAAGTGATGAGTCAACCAGATGGTTATTTTGTATTAATGCTTTGTCAAAAGAATAAATATAAAGTAACAGTAATGTCAAAGCTGTTGTGTACATACTGTGAAGTTATTTAATTTGCATCGTATTTTACATGGTATATTGTAACCGTGTAAAATACGATGCACAGTTTATTTTAAATAAATGGTATATTGTATAACTCTTTTATTCCATTTCATATATGGTGAGGGTCCATCAATCTCTTTCTAGAGAGATAATGTTATTTAAAATACAGTGTAGTCATTGCCATTAATTTGTTTCTATATGTATGTTTAACCATGTTTTAGCACATGTAAGCTTATTAAATGTAAACGTTTATTAAGAAACTGACGCCCGTGGCCGTGGGACACGGTAGATAGCTCAGTTGGTTAGAGCATCGGCACGGATCGCTTAGGTCGTGGGTTCAAACCCCACCCGGTGTCAGTTGATTTTTCGAATTTCTCATTAAATGTTTAGACATTTATTAATATGGTTGGTCTTTACTATGGCTATGTTAATTCAAGCTCAATATGTACCTACTCTGTTAAGTTGTTCTAAGATCTAAAGTAACGTTTAATAAATAGTAATAGGCTA